CAATATCTCAAAACATTCATGTACTTATCCATGCTAAAATTTACAAAGGGGAATAGAACATACATCATATATTTAGTTAAGTTTTAGCAGAGGTTATACGGCACTCGCAACTGCATAAGGTCATATGAACGCCAAGGGGTGGAAGTCGGATAAGTCCTTCCAAGGGAATCAGGCTTATATAAATTCTGCTCACCTCTCTAGCATCAACAACACAAAGTGTGAATCGACTATCAAGGCACTCCGGAAATAGCGGGTCACAAGAGGGTGACAAATATACAAAAGAAGTAGAGGGAAATGACGATAGTAAAGATTAGGGAAAAAAAAGCAGCAGTTCCCTTTTGCAGTTCAGGCACAGTTGTGAGCATGACATTGATGAATCAGCCTTCTACTGTGCATAAGAACATGCTAATGTCCCCACATTTGGGACACTTCAGACGTTCACAATACCATACACTTCACTTTTACATCTTTAGTAGTAGCAGTTCACAGCCAAAGTACAGAATAGAATACACAAAAACAACTAGTGAAATACTCACACAGTGGCTTGGATTGTCAGGGAAACTGATACAAGAGCCGTTCAATGGCATTTTGAAGGTCACAAACTATCAGTTACGACAGGACAGCTCCATGTGTCGATTTCCTGGAGAAGTCCTGGGTACAAGCAGACATAATTAAGTTCATAATAACCAATACTGTCACAAAGGAATAATAATATAACAGCAATAAGAAGTGTATATATAAGAGTTTGGAGCGGTTGTAATTGTAACATTCGCATAACACAAAGGTCGCGGCCATGCAGGCTACATTTCCTGGAGACTAGATGATCTAGCCGTGTCTGACCCGAGGGCACAACAGAATTTAAAACTCGTGTTCAGCAACAGATGGAAGCCTAAGACATCATGAGTGTAAGTTAATCAGTCTGCAATGAATTATATCAAACTCATTAGCAAAGTAATGAGCTTTTTTCCAGCAGTGATCTGACTTTGTCACAGTTTTAGTGGATGTATCATAAATGTGATCTGCTGCAAAAAATACTGCCATGAGACCCTGCCCTAACTAGCGGCCTAACCTAAAGCAGTGTTCTGTGTGCGGGAATCGTGAAAGTAAAATTTTACCCATTATAAAATTATAATTATTATTTATATAATTAACATCAATTTTCTCTGAACTCCGAAAATTTAAAATAAAAATGGTTTTTCTTTTATATCAGGCCAAGTCTTAGACAAGATAGTATTTTACTGAAATTACTGGTGAAGACTGGTTTAGAATAGAGAATAGGTTAACTAGAGTCTAGATCCAGATATATTAGAACTGAAGTCCAATCTGCATGGCATAGGCCTACACTTAATGAAAGCCATTTCAGATAACAAGATCAAATCAGATCTCTTGATTACTAGAATATAGTTCTAATCTAGATCTAGATTTAGAATATATTCTGATTTGAACAGACAGAGGCAGAGGCCTACTTTTCTTGATCTAGAGACTAGATCTAGATCTAGATTCTAGATCTAGACTAGATCTATATTTCTAGATCTAGATATTCTAGAATGCAATTCTACAAGAAAAGCTAAAATGAATCATCTCAAACTCAAAGAAAGTCAAAACATTTCAGATTAATTTCTTAGTAGATAGTTCTAGGCCTAATCTAGGTCTATTTATTTTCTGGACCAGATTCTAGATCTCTAGTTATAGATCTTGATTTCTAGTTCGATGAACCCTCCTTACTTTTCAAAGACAAAGCTTGATCTCCCGACTCTAGAGACCTAGATCTAATCTAAATCTATATATAGATCTAGATCTATGTTTATAGTATAAGTATAAGAATTAATACGTTGCGAAAGATTGTCACTTATGTTCGAGGCTACAGCAATTGTGACTCTAAAAACAACGTCTTAGTCACATTTCGCAATCATGGTCTTTTGATCTACTTTCCCCTTCCTGGATTTCCCACCGCAATCCAGACCAGGTAGTTTAGCAGAGATTGTTTACGTACTGGCGTTTGTTTACAACAAAGCCTTGCAACACAGAAAAGAATAGAACAGAGTGGTCATTCTTGGAAAATAAAAAGTTGGAATATAAAACAAAGAAAGAAAACAGTGCAGCCCGCACTGGTTAGTTATCGGTGTTTTTATAAAACCATAGAATCTAATATAATGATAATGATAATGTTATAACAGGACTATGCCAAATGTTTTGATTCAAGAAAAGGATCGAAAGCAGCGCCTGCCAAATCACTGAAGGGCCTATAATGTTGAGTGCGTATAAGTCTAGGCCTACTTTACTACACCCATGAAACAAACAAACGCACACACACACACACACACACACACACACACACACACACACACACACACACACACACACACAAA